CAGGATGGGTATGGTTGGGGTAAAACGGGAAGGTGGCGGGGATGCTTACCATCACCTGAGGAGTCGCTCCATTAGCGTCGACCATAGGCATCTCTGGTTGGGTTTCAGCGGACCTTTGTCGAGTGATGGGAGGACTCAGACGATTAGATCCGTTGGCTGATCTTCCTCTCGTCAGCTCGTCTTACTAACGTCAGAATCGACACGTGTCAGCTCCGATACCAACCTCACGCCCTGCGCTGCTTCCCGATCGGTTGTGTTTTAGTTCACGGAAGGGTCCCGAGAAGCAACGAAGATGGGGTATGCTAAGGAGTTTTTGATAAATTGAGTATGAGGACACAAACAAAACTAAAATGCCCCGTGTTGGTCCGACCTTAGTAAGATGGAGGTCCGTCGTCACGGGGGTTTAAAAAGGGAAAAAGTTGTGCGGGGGACTCGCGGCTATGGGAAATTCAATCCAAAAAGAATCGATGGACTTCCTAGTGAGCCGTCGCTCTTTGTTTCGTGTGAAAGGGGGCGGGTATACACATGGTATCCCGTTTCTGGATGAGGTCTCGTCGACGCTCGTTACTCAACTCCGAGTCCGACGTGGAGGGCCTCAATCGAGTAGCCCTCTCCTTGTGCTCGTCCTCGCCACGTGTACGGTAGTGAAAACCCTTGGCCTGGTAACGCTCGAAGCGGCGACAATCGCTGCACCGAGTATTAGGCCAATGAGGCTCCAATGTCGTCCACGGGACGACGATCAACTCGTTAAATGGCAACAACAACGAATAGGGTGGAAAGTGCGTATCCATGATAACAAAACCCGCACCGACGAATCCAGAACACCGAGTATCGGGGGGAAAGTAGTAACACCCTCCGATCTTGGTGACGACTTCTCGTACGTCCCACTCGCATACACGTATCCTTTCCTCGTTGTACGGGAAGGGGCGTGGCGGGGGCACAGGAAGTTGGCGCCCGGTCGGGTTGGGGCCGTCAGTCCACATGGCAGCAGAAGCAAGCGCAAACAAATCCTTCTTAATCATACATCATTCGTTTGACACTCCAGGCAACCAGATCGCTCAGTCGATCAGCCAATCATCCTCTCAATCACGCTATGACAAGCTCTCTAATATGACCCACCGCATGCACATATCAAAGTGAGAGAAGCAAAGTTACCATAATTCATCCATTATAATATAACATGATAGAAAGAGAGAGAGTGAGGGAGAATAGCCCCAGATCAGGAGGGAGGAACGAGTAGGGAGCAACAACAGAACGTCAGGCGATCTTGTCTAGGGAAATTTTGGCTTAAAAGCCAAGTGATCAGAACTCACGTTCGAAGATACAAATTTTGGGACAAAAACAAGCAATTCCGCCATAAAATTCCATCATAGTCACAGGCCATGCACTCACTCACTTCCGATTCGAACTTCTCACAAGCACTGATGATCCCAGCCGTCACGTGCTAATCCACCATAGCGATTGTCACCCCGCCAACTTAGTCTTTGCATGGTCGGACCTGGATCCCACAGTCCGTCGGGTGATCCAGCAAATGAGCGCCAAGACTACAGTCAGCTCGTCGGGACTTTTCGACTCGCACCTTCCTTCATACCACCTAGCCACGACTTCCTGGAAGCGGGCTGATGAGTCGAGAGAAAGATTTTTGGGGGCGCTTGCTGAATTTATAGTTGTGGAAAAGGAGATAGACGCTAGGAAGGGTTAGGACTGAGGTAGGGAGGGGTAGGGGGAAGTTTGGGGATAATCGTTCGTCGAAAGCCATGATGTCGATCCCTCAACGCCCAGCCGTGGCCAATCAGAATCGTCGTGTATCAGAGATTTCCTCTTTACACGGCGCGTCTCCTTGGCTAGAGGGAAGAAAAAGGGAGTCGACAAAGTATTTCAGCGCAAGGATTAGAGCAGGAAGAGGAAGAGCGCGAGGGATAGCGCGGAATGGAACCAAGACTCAGCCGATCAAGAAAGAGAAAAGGCGCGCAAGGCGAAGGAGAGATGGAAAACGGTTACAAAGAGAGAAGGAGCGTGAGCGCGAAGAAGAGAGTGTCGAAGGCAGCGAGGGAAGCGGGGAGGGGAGGCTCGCATGCATGGCGCCGACGGGGAGGCAAAAAGGGCACCAAAACAGTTACAACTAATTCAAATTGAAAAACACCATATCCACGCGGTAGAGCGAGCGTGGGAGAAAGTCCTATACCTATTCAGATTCCTACGAAAATTCCTAGAGTTTTCCAAGACGAAGTTGAGAACATTCATGCACAAGAAAGGACACGTCAGGTTTCGCTCATTCCGGAATTCCTAACCGTCGACCCAAATTCCTAGCGTGCTCGCTAAGGCGCGCATAATTCCCATGTATTTCCCGAATTTGCAAAAGATGAAATTTCAAAAACCGATCCAAAAAAAAATGACGAAGGTCCTGGGAAGGACGGGCCTCCCTGATTACGAACAATGCATATTACATTAATGGAAATACAAAAAGAGGCCCTGTCGGCCTGTTTGCAAGACACCAAAATTCGAAAAAGAGAGGGGATGGGGGGGCGGAGGATTGGAAGATGGCGCAGGTCCCGAAGCTGGCGCGTCACATGTGTGCCTTGCTCTACAGAGCTAAGCTGTCCACCTAAAAAAAGAAAGGGAAAAAAAATATAGCTGGGTATGGAAGCCCCACATTTGCTTACTCTGCACTGGATTTGTGGGAGCATCTGGGCCTCGCTCCGCCACAAAATGAAACTGAATCTTCGGGTAAAGCATGGAATGATCGATTGCTGTAGTTTTTGTTGTCTGTGCATGTGGAGAGTAGTGGAGTGAGGCCCTCTGGCAGGGAGGGTAGGGTGGGCTATATTTCGGTCCCTCATGTGCACAGTTCACAGCCAAGAGGCTGCGCTATACCCGATTGCATTTTGTCGCATAGCGAGGAGGTCTTATAGGTTGGAGGCCGGTAGGCAAAACGGTAGGTGCAGAGGTTGGAGTGCGGGCGACCAACTGTAGGTCGCATAGGTCGTCCGTTGGTGGTGGCGGGCGACGCGCGGCCTTCCTTTTTTCTTTTGTCCTTTCTGTGCAGGGGTCATTTTGGTGAGTTCGGCGCCAGAGGCCGCGTCTTCATTTGGGTGGGCGGGTAAGGCTGTGTCTTCGTTTGGGCGGGCGGGTAGGGAATGGGTATTTGTGCGGGCGGGTATATGGGTATAATATATTTTTGGCGGGTCGTTTTTTTTTTTTTCTTCTTGTTTTTGCTTTGCTTTGAAATTCGAAACCCTCTGCCTGTCGTCCTCCTGTCATGTCTGCTTGACGTACCTCTCTCTCTCTCTCTCTCTCACACACACACACACACACACACACACACACACACACACACACACACGCAAACACACAAACACACACACACACACACACANCACACACACACACACACACACACACACACACACACACACACACACACGCAAACACACAAACACACACACACACACACACACACATAAACAAAAACTAGTGTGGCAGTGTATATTTCCATATTCTAGCGGTAGATTCATTCGATTTTGCTCATCCTACGGATAGACGTAGCATGAGGCCAGCAGCGAGATTGGAGACTTACCTGTTGTCTCTCTCTCTCTCTCTCTTTCTTTCTTTCTTTTACCTGTTCCCTTTTTTTTTTTTTTTTGAAGGGAGACGGCCCCAGAAAGTTCAGAATAATTTTATTCTGGCTAACTGTTTGTATCTGGATTCGAACTTGGGTCTGTATTTTAAGAGTTCGTGGGTGTACCAACTGAGCTATGCCCATTGGTAAGGGGAGTTTTCTTTTGAAAGTACTCCTGTTGAATTCCATCTGACAACTTTTGGAAAATGCCTCGTTTCGAAAGGTTGTGTGGCGAGCCCTTATGGCAGATTGTCAGATTGTGAATTTGAAAACACGGGTTCAACTAAACAAAAAATAAAATAAAATGCCCCTTGCACATTGAGACAGAAGGCCAGATCCTGAAATTGTCCGGTCTGTGGCACATGCATTCAATGTTTTTTCAGAAGGGATGAGTATATGTGCTCTCTTTTCAAAAGCAGAGAGAGAGAATTGTTTTCGAGGCGTTGGATTTTGTCAAAACGAATACACGAATGCAGGAGCAAGGGCCCACCGCTGGGCTTCTCCGCTGAGAAGGCTCACCAAAAGAAAAAAAGACAGTTTGTCAAGAAGAACAAAGATTGAGCTTCTGCACTAACGACCCGCTCTCGCTCCGGAGTGGCTGCGCTTCCACGGTTGCGCGGTACCAGTTTCTCCCACCCTCGTTTGCCTCAAATACTGTAGTTCGTCGATTAAGGGTAGGACCCCACACCACTGCCCGCTGACAGGGATGACGAAACAGAGGGGACCCCACGGCCGCGGGGAAATGTTGAGTTTGCGATGCCCGCGGATACCCAAAAAGGAAATTCGGGGGGCCAACACGTGAGAGGTATCTCTATGCTTGCATGCAGGGGTCCCCTATAGAGGCTTAGGAGTACTGGTAGGTAGATAGTGAAAGGTGAAATTGAGAGAATTCATTTTTGTCTTTTTTGGGGAAAAAGAATGTGCCAATAGGCCTAGCTCAGTAGGTACACCCATGAACTCTGGACATACCGACCCATATATTTTCTTTTCTTTTTCATTTTTCCGACCCATGTTCGAATCCCTGCTTGTGCAGTCAAGATAATCGATAAAGGGCTGGGGCTAGGTCCCACTTACACGAATTAAGCGATATTGACCGTAGATTGCAAAGATCAACGGCCAGAATCTCTTAATCCGTGCAAGTGGGACCTCGCCCCTGGTGTGTCCTTCTGCTTCTGCCTGTCCCACAAACGTGCGTGGGCATCCCGATCGTCCCTCGATAGCTCCGCCGCGAGGCAGGAACCGTAGCTGCCTCTGCGTCGTCCCATGCCAGCAGCATAGAATAGACACCTCCGCAAATGTGAAAACGGCCGACTGTATACTACCGGTAAAATTGGATACATACGGTTGTCATTTATCTTAAGTTTTCACATTTGGCGGGCGGGCGAAAAGTGAAGTGATCCAAAAAAAAGAAAGAAAAAAAGAAAAGTGAAGTGAGTGAAAGTAGTGGTGAGGGCTCTCAGGTGCCGAAGGAGGCAATCAGCGATCCCTCGACAAAAAGTGGTCTCAGGCGAACGCTGAGCAGAGGCGAGCAAAGGCGAGCAAAGGCGAGCAGAGGTGGTGAGCTTCTTCCATCCTCGTTCCGCCGCTCGTTAGTTGTGAAATTGCGGATGTACCTTGCCACGTTCATCAGCACTATACATTCGCCGTTTTCAGATCTGCCGAGTGTTGTTGGAGCAAACCCCACCGTTGTTACTTTTGCTATCGAATCCCCGCACCACCTTATTTAGTGGTCGTTTCTCTCTCTCTCTCTCTCTCTCTCTCTCTCTCTCTCTCTCTCTCTGTGCGCGCTTTCTCTCTCTTTCTCTGCTCTCTGCTCTCTCTCTCTCTCTCTCTCTCTCTCTCTCTCTCTCTCTCTCTCTCTCTCTTTGTGTTTATGTTGTCATGTTCGCTATAAGCAACTTCACCAAAAAAAGCATGACTGTGCCATTTCGCCGGACTTTCAGCGACTCGTCAGGTGGTTGAACCCTCTCTCTCTCTCTCTGTCTCTCTTTGTGTGTGCGTGTGTGTGTGTGTGTGTGTGTGTGTGTGTGTGTGTGTGTGTGTGTGTATCGCGCTGATGGTTGTGCAGTGCTTTCTCTGCTCTCTCTGTGGGTATTTGTGTGAGTGTGTGCGTGCGTGCGAATCTCTCTCTCTCGCTGTCTCTCTCTCTCTCTCTATATTTCCCGGGCGTGTGTTGTGTGTGGATGGGCTTGGGCTTCTGGCTGTGGTAATCAATCAAAATCTTGATTGATTAGTCGGTGTATGGCCGAGGCGGCGAGGTAATCCATTTTGTTCCTGATTGATTGAATGATTGATTACTCGGTGAAGGGCCGAAGAAAGGACAAAATCATCCCTGTTTTCGCTAACATGAGTGATTGATTGTAGTCCTTTTCGATTTATGCGGGTCATCCTCGTCCTTGAAAGCCCAAAGCATCCCTGTTTCCACTTTATTATTAGCTGATTGATTGATTGTTTGCTTGCTTGAGTGCTTGCTTGAGTGCTTGCTTGCTTGCTTGATTGCTTGCTTGCTTGCTTGATTGATTGATTAATTGCTTGCTTGCTTGATTGATTGGTCGATTGCTTGCTTGATTGGTCGATTGCTTGCTTGCTTGCTTGCTTGCTTGCTTGATTGCTTGATTGCTTGATTGCTTGCTTGCTTGATTGCTTAATTGCTTGCTTGATTGCTTGCTTGATTGCTTGATTGCTTGCTTGCTTGATTGATTGCTTGATTGCTTGCTTGATTGGTTGATTGATTGACTGCTTGCTTGCTTGCTTGATTGATTGGGATTGATTGATTGATTGTGTACTTGGTAAACGGCCTTTTTTATGCGTTTCAGCCGCATCCTTGAAAGTGCAGCGGGGCCCCATGCTAATATACTACGCAAGCTCCCCTCTCTGTTTATATCACCTCCAAAGGTCGGACCCTTGATGATGTTCATGTGAGGGGAAAAAAAAAACAGCTTTCCTGTGTGTGTCATTCATAATTTTTTTTTTTATTATTTTTTTTACCCCATGTCCGGAAGGACTATTGTAAGTTTTCGTGTTAAAAAAAAAAAAAAAAAGTTAAGTCTTCGGCACTGGCCGGTTGTAAATATAAATAATGGGTTGTTGAACCATTGTCCCAAAGAAAACAAAAACCGAAGGAAAAAAAACCCCCCCAGAAAAAACAGAAAAAAAAATAGAAACTAAAAACTTGAGAAAAGGGCAAAAGCATACGGACTTCGAGATTCTGGTATGCATGCATCTGATAGCAATTACGGTCAGATTCTATGCAAAAAAAAAAAAAAACGTGCAAGTGTGAACGCAGCGGCCTTTGTTCACTTGTGTATTGATGACCAGTTAACGGAAATACAGTAATCAAAATAAATTACTAATAATGTTTTAAAACAAAATTACAATAATTAAAAAAAGTCAGAGCCGTTGTGCTATTATTCTACACAGAGGATGAGTGTGGTTAACACACACACACAAAAAAAAACAACAAAAAAAATCTCCCCTTCTCATGGACAGATCGAAGCCAAAAAAAAAAACAAAAAAAAAGCTTGAACCTCATTGACAGATCGTAGCCGTTAAAAAAAAGAAAAAAAAAAGGTTTCTTCCTATAAAATAAAAGTAATCGTACTCCACCTCCTCGACCTCGTCCTCGTTAACAACAACTAGATCCTCCTCCTCCTCCTCCTCCTCCTCATTCTCCTTTTTTCCCCTCTCTCTCCCAGTCTCATGTTCTTCCTTACACATAGCTGCTGCTCCTTGTGATTGTCATCATCATCATCATCCATCATCATGATCATCATCAATCATCATCATCAGTCATCATCGTCAATCATCAATCATCATCATCATCATCATCAGCGTCATCGCTTCTCCATCCTTCGTCTTTTCCAGCTCCTTCCTCCTTAGTGATGCATCAGCGAAGATAGCGAGCCCCGCTGTTTGGAAGAGAAGCCGAAGGAGGAGTAGGAGTAGGAGGGCGGGGGCGGCGGCGGCGGCGGCGGCGGCGGCGGTGGAGGAGGAGGAGGAGGAGGAGGAGGAGGAGAAGGAGGAGGAGGAGGAATCGTCGCTCCCTGTTCATGTTGTCGTCATCTTCCCATCTCCATTTTACCTCCTCCTCCTCCTCCTCCGCCGCCGCCGCTGGCTCCTCCTTTTCCTCCTCCTCCTCCTCCCCTCTCTCCTCCTCTGTCTCCTCCTTCTTGTCCTCCCTCTCCTCCCTCTCCTCCCCTCCCTCTCCTCCCTCTCCTCCCACTCCTCTCTTCTCCTCATCACCGTCCCTCCTCGCTCTCGTGCTCCTTCCTGTCCCCCTCCTGCTCCTCCTTCCCTCTCCTCATCACCATCCCAACTTCATGCCTACTCTTTTGCTTCTTCTTTCTCCTCTCCCCTCTTTCTCCTCCGCACTCGGAGTTTGTCATCGCGATCTTGACCTTGTCGGTCTCGTTCTCCGAAAGTTCTCCGAATGTTCTCCGAATGTTCTCGGAATGTGTACTGATAATCTTTGTGGCCTTATAGTAGCATACAAAGGGCCTCGTCGCACCACTCGCGAATTTTGAAAAAAGGCCGACCGAAAATATGGCGCGTGTATCTTTCCACATTCCTGCGGGAGAAACATTCTCATTCTAAAATAAATATACATTTGGCCAGTGGTGCTGCTGCGAGCCCCCCCCCCCCCCCGGAAAAAAAACAGGATGGTAATTTTTCTCACTTGTGCTGAACTACAACGATCTCCCTTTTTTTATTACTATTATGTCATAAATTCATAATAATACACGCATTTCGCTTTGATAAAAAAAAATAAAAAAATTCGCTTTGATGTTCCTGGTCGCAATTTCGGCGTTTTCTGAACCGAAATAGGTCAGGCCTTACCAGCTTCCCGCCAATAGGAGGGCCTGGCGATTTCGATTAAAAAAAAAAAAAAAGGCCAATTTTTTTTCCGAGAGGAATGTCAAAATTTTGAAACTGATCAGAAGAGATACTACACTTGATCTTAGACAAAAGGCCGAGAAAGTTTTTATTTTTATTTATTTTTGATTAATTTATTTTTATTTTTTATTTTTACTTTTTATAATAATTTGAGTTTTTATTTTTATTTGTATGTTTTATAATAATTTGGACCATTTCTCTCGATTGATGCGTGTCATCCTTGGCGCAGGGGCCATTTTGCTAATCTTCTCTTTCTCCTTTCTCTGTATCGTTCCAATTGTAACGGACGGATATGTCCCGAAGGACAACAAGAAAATCGGACCATTGTTCGATTTATGCGTGCCCTCCTTGCGCAGGGGCCAATTCTAACGGATGTCCCGAATTTTAACTAACGGCTGTCTCGATTTATGCGTTCCAAAAAAAAATAAAAAATAAAAAATTATGCGTTCCAGTTTTAACGCGTGCCCTCCTTGCGCAGGGGCCAATTTTTACGGATGTTCGGAATTTTATTTTATTTTATTTTTATTTATTTATTATTTATTATTACTTTATTTTTTTAATAACGGATGTCCCGAATTTTAACGGACGGATGTCTCGATTTATGCGTTTTATTCCAATTTTAACGGATTTTATTTTATTTATTATTTTTTGATTTATTATTATTGTTATTATTATTATTATTATTTTTTATTTTTTAACGGATGTCCCGAATGACAACGGCGGCGTTTCGACGTTAGCCTAGACGACTGCCGCCGTTGTTTTTCGGTATGATCAGTGGTGGTTCTTGGGAGTTGGGGGAACGAAGGTGGGGCATACGGGATGTGACAGACATGATGGGGACTGTTTTGCAATTCGACATCCTGGTCTTCGGGTTTTGCACAACTTTTTGAGTATCTGCGCACCTACCGGTAGTCTCTTATGTGTACGTGTGCGTTGTGTTTGCCCTTGGCCCCTTGTGGCTCAGGGGCCATGCTAATCTTCTCTCCCTGTCTCCGTTCCAATTTAACGGATGACCCCGAAGGGCTAAATGTACATATTTCCAACGGAGGACGAAGCTACAGAGCGCCTCCTAATGAGTCAGACGATCAAACTCCGGCGATACAGTTTGTCACAGCCGCAGCCCCTCTCGTTTGTTGTCCTCTTCTCCCTCCCTCTCTGCTGACTGCTTACCGTAGGCAGTTCTATTCTTAAAAAAAAAAAAAAAAAAAAAAAAAAGGCAGTTCTATTCTATTTGATGATATATAGCACTTGTCGCTTCCTGATTATTTCGGTTCAGAAAACGCACGCCGAAATTGCGACCAGGAACGTCGAAGGACAAAATGGCTAAAAAAAAAAAGGAGAAATACTGGAAGTTAAATTATGTATTATGTATTATGTACTTAGCACTCTTCTCTTCCTCCGGAGTTAATTTTTTGTCTATGGTCGCCGGTGATAAGCAACCGGACTGACAAGCCCTACAGAATATAGATTCGGCACTTTTTTTTTTTTTTTTTTACCTTCACGTTTCTAGGCCGTTGACGCGGTGGCTGAATTGGTGCGCCGCGCGGGTCCTTATGCATTTGGGGTACTAAGACCCCCTGGGGTACTGGTGGTTGAAAAGGGAAAAAAAGAAAAAGAAAAAGAAAAGGAAGGAAGAAAAAGAAAAAAAAGAGGAAAAAAAAGAAACCAAAACGTGGTTGAGTTGCAAAAAAAAAAAAAAAAAAAAAAATCTTCGAACGGATCGGCTCGCGGATTGAGTTGCGGATAAGGGAAAAAAAAGAAAGAGCAAATGAGCTGACGTGGCATCCATCCCCAGCCGTGACATTCCTAATTAGGTAAGTAATATTCTTCTCGAACGTGGCAAGGGCCACGGACTGAGCTCGCAAAACCTAACCGAATGTTTTTTTCGAAGACGAGAGTAATTATCTTCCAACGGATCGGCTAACGGATTGAGTTGCGGATAAGGGAAAAAAAACAAGAAAAAAAATAATAATAATAAAATGAGATAATGTGGCATGCAGGCCGTGGCATTCGTAACTAGGTAAGAAGTCTTCTTCTCGAACATGGTAGGGGGGCCACGGACTGAGCTCGCAAAACCTTAACCTAATTAGGAATGTTTTTTTCGAAGACTGAGAGTAATTATCTTCCAACGGATCGGCTAACGGATTGAGTTGGGGATAAAGTGGGTGGGGGGGGTGAAAACGGGGGAAACCGAACAAAATGAGCTGACGTGCCATCCCGCCTAGACAAGGAATCTTCTCCTCGTACGGGGCAGGTGCCACGGACTCAGCGCGCAAATCCTAAACCTAACGAGGAATGTGTGCTGCAAGTAATTACTAATTATAGATTATTACCGTAATTGCACTTGTACGACGCGATGCCATTCATCGTCCCACTGAAGCCCCCGTCGTCGATGCCGTGGTGTCCGTCATCTCTTCACGTGTTAATCCGTCCTCCGTCCTCCTCCTAGTCGTCACTGGAAGTCAAGTCGTCTCTTCCGGATTCATTCATCCAATTCAATTAATTGCCCCCTCTGTGAAGCGCATCATCAGCGAAGAGAGAGAGAGAGAGAGAGAGAGAGAGAGAGAGAGAGAGAGAGAGAGAGAGAGAGAGGTAGTAGGGGTGTGTGTGTGCGWGTGTGWGAGAGAGAGAGAGGTAGTRGGTGTGTGTGTGTGTGTGTGTGAGAGAGAGAGAGAGAGAGAGAGAGAGAGAGAGAGAGAGAGRKAGWRRGRGWGWGTGTGTGCGTGTGTGAGAGAGAGAGAGAGGTAGTAGGTGTGTGTGTGTGTGTGTGTGAGAGAGAGAGAGAGAGAGAGAGAGAGAGAGAGAGAGAGAGAGAGAGAGAGAGAGAGGTAGTAGGCGTTCTTGGAGCGGGAGAGGTAGTAGGTCAGTTTGTTCTTGCAGAAAGGGAGAGGTAGTAGGCGTTCTAAACGAGCTGCGTGCGTGATCTATTGCAATTCTGCTTTCTTCTGCAGCTTCATCGCTCCTCTCGGGTATGAGAACATTGACAGACGGCGATGGCGATCTCCCACGCAGTTCCCGCGCGAGGACTGGTGGTCCCCCCAATTGTAGTACCGATGGCACGTGCAGTGTTCGCGAGGGCCTTCGACTTTTCTGCCGCAATTGTCAAGAATGCTGGGTCGACTGGTGCGTCTCACTTGGTCTTGCTATTGTCGTAGCGGTCGTGTTGAAGCGTATAAGGCCATTTGAGAGGTATATCGACGAAATGACCCTGAAGAACGAGCGGTACCCCATGATGGGAAGCAGCACGGTGCCTTCTGCTGCGCTTCCTGGCATTGCAATAGGCCTTCCACTGGCCGTCTTTGGGGTCCAATTCTGGAGGAAAAGAGATGGCAACGAACTCCATAGTGCGGTGATTGGATGCATCTATACGGTGGTTCTGACCTGGTTCATCACGGACAGCATCAAGCCATTGATAGGAAGGCCAAGACCAGACTTCGCTGCAAGGTGCTTTCCAGATGGGGTTAAGCGATTTGGACCTGATGGGAATGTGCAGTGTACGGGGGATGAAGCTGTTGTAAGGGAGGGGAGGTTGAGCTTCCCTAGTGGCCATTCGGCTTTGTCGTTTGCGGGAATGTCTTACCTCTTCTTCTTCCTGTCAGAGAGACTACTGGGCAAATCGACGAGAGAGAGAGGTGGAGGGTTATGGTGGTTGGTTCTGGCATTGATCCCGCTTGCAATTGCGACGTTGGTGGCAATGACGAGAGTGGAGAACTACAGGCATCACTGGGATGATTGCGTTGTGGGCAGTTTGATAGGCATCGTGATGGCGAGAACGGTGTACCTGATGCAACGAATCTGGTCAGAAGAGAAGAAGGGAAAAGGATACGAGACTTATCGCATATACCCGGACGCACACGGAAGTGATAGGGAGGATGCTATGACGAGAGAGTTGCTGCTTCCGTGAGGCGTCCAAGAGAGAGAGAGAGAGAGAGAGAGAGAGAGAGAGAGAGAGAGAGAGAGAGAGTTGCTGCTTCCTTGAGGGGTCCAAGAGAAGATCACTCCAAGGTGATGCTTCCCTTCTTTCAGACACATAGGAAGATGCACATGCGCCGTCCGCACGTTGTGTTGCTCTTGCAAGTGCCAGCGGGGCTGTTAAGAGAGAGAGAGAGAGAGAGAGAGAGAGAGAGAGAGAGAGAGAGAGAGAGAG